ATGATGAGATGGAATCCATCATGGGAAATAATACTTGGGTATTAGCTAATTTACCACCAAAATGTAAACCAATAGGGTGCAAATGGATCTTCAAAAAGAAATTGAGGATTGATGGAACGGTTGAAAAGTTCAAAGGTCGATTAGTGGCACAAGGTTTTACGCAAAAGCCTGGTATCGATTATTTTGATACATATGCACCTGTTGCTAGAATTACAACTATTAGGTTGTTGATAGCACTTACGACTATCCATAATCTTGTGATCCATCAAATGGATGTCAAGACAGCGTTCTTGAATGGAGATCTAGAAGAAGAGGTTTACATGCGACAACCGGAAGGGTTTGTTGTGAAAGGTCAAGAAGGAAAAGTTTGCAAGTTAATTAAATCTTTGTATGTGCTTAAGCAAGCACCTAAGTAATGGCATCAAAAGTTTGATGAGGTTGTGTTGTCTAATGGATTCAAGCTGAACAATTCAGACAAGTGTATATATAGAAAATTTGATGACAAAGGTCAAGGTGTCATAATTTGTCTATATGTAGATGACATGTTGATCTTTGGAACGGATTTGTCACAAGTTAAAATGACAAAATCCTTCCTTAGTTCACAGTTTTCCATGAAAGACATGGGAGAAGCAGATGTTATCTTGGGCATAAGAATAAAGAGAGAAAAAGGAAAGTTAATCTTATCACAATCTCATTACATTGAGAAAGTGCTTAAGAAATTCAATGTTAATGATGTTTCGACTTCTCTTTATTCAACACCTATGGATCCTAGCGTAAAGTTGATACCTAATTAAGGTAATGCAGTTTCACAACTAGAATACGCAAGAGTAATAGGTTGTTTGATGTATGCCATGACAAGTACTAGACTGGATATTGCTTATGCAGTTGGTCAACTAAGTCGATATACTAGTAATCCTAGTATGCTACATTGGCAAGCAATTCGACGTTTGTTAAAGTACTTGAAGAAAACCATGGATTATGGTTTGTCTTATAGTGGATATCCCTCGGTCATAGAAGGATATTCGGATGCAAGTTGGATCTCTAATAAAGATCACTCCTCCACAAGTGGATGGGTTTTCCTATATGGTGGAGGTGCTATTTCATGGGCTTCTAAGAAACAAACTTGCATTGCAGACTCCACAATGACATCGGAGTTCATTGCTTTACATTCGACTGGTAAAGAAGCTGAATGGTTGAACGATCTCATGTATAAGATACCTTTGTTGCCAAAACCAATATCACCAATAGTGATACATTGTGATAACAATCCTCTGGCTAAGGCATATAGCCAAGTGTATAACAGTAAGTCAAGGCACATTGGTGTAAGGCATAGTTACATCCAAGGACTTATTAAAGATAGTGTGATCACTATTGACTATGTTCGAACGAGGTTTAATCTAGCCGATTGTTTCACAAAAGCATTGGCAAGAGATGTTAATAAAAGGATGGCAATCAATTTGGGATTGAAGCCTTATAATAATCACGAATGAGGAAATCTTAACTTAACGCCCAATAAGACGTTGGGTCTAAGTTCAATAAGATTAATTTCCTTATTTGATGATTGGGAACTTGATATTCATCCTAGGTAAGTTCCATTTTTACTGTGATGAAAAGAGGTTGTTTATCTTAATAGATTTTTTTACATTGCGCTTAGTCACAGGAGCATGTTAATGAAAGATCTACCTATATAAGTACGAGGTTTGGCCGCTTCAAGAAGTTATTTGGGCATAGCTTTGATGTACTTATGAATAGATATGGACATATGGCAACAAAGTGTCAAGTATAGAATGTATTCAAGTTATTTGATCTAGTGTGTGTAATATCTTCAAGTTTCTAATATGTATTGCTATTGGTTCAAACGCTTAACGATATCAATTGGATACCGATTCTTGAGTTGTATATTATACTAAGTGGAAGTTCAAGTCTTTGTACACTTTCATTTATGCACAAGATTGTTTTTTATGATGATGATGTTTTTGCAATGAGTCTAGATTAATTCTCTAAATGGGGGAGGATTGTTGAATTATTTAGAGAATTGTAGACTATTTTCATGTTATTTAACCTAAGTAAATTAATTAAATAAATAAGTAATCAAAGCAAATAACCATAAATTAACTGTTGTCTTTGGTTTTAATCGTATGACTTGGCTATATAATGCTTTGTGTCATTTGGCTCAAATGGCCAAATAATACTAAGTGACGGTTGTGACCAAATAATACTAGTGACGGTTGTGGACTTGTGACAGTAAGTTATATTGCATCATTTGGCTTAAATGGAAATTAATACTCTTGTGAATGGTTGAGATTATCCACTCATACAAGACATCACAAAGTAACCAAACGGTGCTAGGAGTTTATTTGCTTTGCTATATATATGTTCTAGTAACATATGACGAAAATAAGGCATGAAAAGAAGTATAGTAACTTTCTTTTTCATTCTTTTGTTTTGCATTCGTTTTTTTCGAGAATTATCATCATAAATTATTCAAAAAGTTTTGTTTACATTCACTAATCGAAAATATCAAAAAGGCACCCCCTAATTGGCACCGGTTCAGTCCAAACCGGTGCCAAAACTGGCCTACAAAATTGGTGGGAAGCTGAACCAAAATAAAAGGCACCGGTTCACTTCAAACCGGTGCCAAAAACATAAAGGCCACCGGTTTGAACCGGTGCCTTTGTGAACCGGACCTTTTAATTATTAAAAAAAAAAAACCGCTCATACTCTCTCCCTTTAAATAAAACCCTAAAACTAAATCTTGCTCTCCTTCTCTATCCTCTCACTCCGCCTCCTTCACTCTCTCCTCTCCTTTCTCTCTCCTCTAGCTCTCTTTCTCGATCTCTCCTTCCCAATCTCTTTTCTTTCTGTACAACAACAACAACACCACCACAACAACAACAACAACACCGCAAAGCCGCCGCCACCACCGTAACATCACCACCACAAAGTTCGATTTCCTCATTTTTTTTCGGCCATTTTTACCACCACCGTAACATCATCACCACCACCAGCGATTTCCTCATTTTTTTCGCACTTTCTCTCCCCCTCGTGATGAAATTAAAGGTTTTTAGGTCAAATTCGACCATGAAAACTCTAGATCTGGAGTTTTCATGTTCGAATTCGACCTTTATAACCCAAATTAAAGCTAATTTTGGGGGGTTTTGGTGTAATTCGAGGTAAATTCTCTTTTTTTTCTCACTTTTTTTTTTTTTGAGATTTTTGGTGGAATTCGAAGGTTTGAGGGTAGTGTTTCTGGGTTAGCTTTGTATTTTGGGTTTAATTTGGTTGCCGGTGGTTGCGGTTTCATTTGGTTGCCAGTGGTTGTGGGTTTAATTTGAGGGATTTTTTTTTTTTTTTTGAATAGCCGAACACTATTTTTATTGGTTCCATATTACCAGATTTTTTGCTATTGTTTTTTGCTTTAATTTGGTTGTAATTGTTTTTTTTTTTTATTATTGTTCTATAATGAGATTGTAGTTTATTGAGGATTTTTATTAAAAAAATTAATTTTTATTAATTTTTGTCCAAATTTGATCAGGTTTTACACTCCACCCAGAAAAAGGATTCAAATATCAAGATGATGTAGATTTTGGTGTTTTAATTCGATGTTGTAATGTAATTTTTTTTTTTCTGAAATTGTAATATAATGTATTAATGTAATGTAATATCAAATTTTTTTTCTGTAATTTGATGAATATATATATGTCATTATTAATTTATTTGATGAATGTGATTATTGTATGTATTTTGTTTAAAATATTATTTTCTATTAATTTTTAAGTAAAAAAAGACAAAAAAAAAAAAAAAAAAAAAAAATTATATTTTTTGGGCACTTTTGGCACCGGTTAACCGGTGCTAAAAACAAGCAAATAATTTTTTTTGGCCATTTTTGGCACCGGTTAACCAGTGCCAATTCTGAGTTTTGGCACCGGTTTGAACCGGTGCCTTTTTAAACCACTTATTGGCACCCCCCACATTGGCACCGGTTCAAACCGGTGCCTTAGGCCGGGTTTGAACCGGTGCCATTTTCATTTTTTCACGTAGTGATTAGACCACAAATATACTACACACTATTGTGGTTCTCATATATATAGGGGAGGGATCCGATGAGAATAGGTTCATATGTGAGAATTCATACTTATATGAGAACTGATCTATAATTTAGAACACATGAGTAAAAATTTAGAACATACGAGTAAAAATTTAGAACATGCGACTCAAATTTAAATTTAGAAAATATGACTACTAATTTTGAACATATGTGTGAGCACTAATTTAGAACATCTGATTCAAGAATTAGAATATGAGAGTAAAAATTTAAAAAATTTGCTTAATGAAATTTAGAACATATGATTAAAATTTAGAACATCTGATTTAAATTTTAGAACGTGTGAATAAAAAATTTAGAACACTTGGTATAAAAATATAGAAAATGGGAGTAAAAATATTAAACATATAAGTAAAAATATAGAACATGTGAGTCAAAATTGGAATATATACTTTCGAATTTAGAACATATAACTTAAAATCTAAAAAAAAAAAAAAAAAAAAAACTAAAAATCTTAGAACACACGCACGTTTTAAAATTTAGAACATATAAGTTAAAATGTCGGAATAAGTCATTCGAAATTTATAATACGAAGTATCTAACTTAACTAATTTATGGTTTAGAACATGTGAATACTAATTTAGAACATCTGATTTAATTTAGAACACCTAAGGAAAAGTTTAGAACATCATATTTAAAATTTAGAACATACGAGTAAAAATTTATAACATAAAAAGTGTTCTCACATAAGAAAATTCTCACGAGAGTCTTCCCCTATATATGCATCTTATGTACCAAGGGAAAAGAATTAAAGTAAGTTATCATAGGTAGCTTGATGGTGTAATGCATGACTTAGAAGCCTTTATTACAACATGAAATTCTGAATAATAAAAGAAACAGAGACACTGACAGGTTTGAGGCATAAAAGCATATGGACAGCGGGTTACACTGTTACCTGTTGAAAGCTCGTTTCAGTTTTTCCATTCTTATTGATCATAGAATTGAGTGAAGCCGAAACCAGTTTCTCAGCCTGCAGATGATAAAAATTTGAATAATTAGAAGACTTACTATAAGAAAAAATGAGAAACCATGAAAAACAACCGCACCTCTACATAGCCCATATGCAACCGCTTTGTATAATCGGCAGCTACATGCTGTCTTTGTGTACCAGTAACTGCATCATGATGTTGAGCAATTGCCAAACCATTAGCCAATATATCTGTTTTGGAGAGTGAACTGTTCCTTCCATTAAGAAATTCCAATTGTCTCGCTGCCTGATAGCAAACAAAAAAATTGGGGCAACACATCAAACATCATGCAGGTAAGGCCCTCAGCCCCTCAAAAGATGAAAGAGGCACTACGTGTCTTACCAAGTAGTAACCACTCATCACTCTGACATATCCTTTAAATGCCGGCCTACTTGTGAAGTAGCCTGTCCAGTATGCATTAACACGATCTGCATAGCTGAACAATCACATCATGTTGTTTCAGTACACTACATGGATGAGATTGATTCAGCCAACTACCACCCAGAAACTCAAAAACTCACGGGAAAAAATCATCAGTTTTGACAGGCCATGACTCATTCATTTCATATTTTGCATTTGTGTAAATTGATGGCGTTGAGTATAATGCATTGACACGCCCATCCTACATTCAATTTTTAAAAATTATACCAAAGTGAATGCAACATTTGGAGAAGATATAAGCGAAAGATGAATAAAATGCTCGATGCAAATTCACTGAGCTAACACTGGCACTTGTCTTTATAGGGAAAATACAAATACGAAGTATATACCAAATTAACATAATGGATAAATTTGTCCATCTGTCTAAACCAGGAATTGGCATACTGATATCGAAAATCTTCACCCATGGTCCACATGATATGTTCTGTCCTAGTCACATTAGCCTGTAGGAAATAGGAAAATAATAGTAAGTTATCTCCTTGATTGCTTAACATTATACAAATGCACGATACAATACGATACTGAAGAAAATACAATTTTGCGTGTTAGCATTTGATCAGGCCCCAATAACGATGGTTAGAGAATAATTGCTATCAGAATATGAGAATTAACAAGATGGCTGGCTAGTAATTAAAATCTTTTAGAATTATAAGAGACTACAATTCAAATTACCTTCTTAAGTCTTCACTATAAGTAAGAAATGCCAAAGGATTAAGGACTTCTATCACTTAAGTTAAAAGTCTTAAAACAATTGTTGTAGAGGTCACTACATTCTCCTAACAATAGAAAGGCTATAAACCCCCATCCCAGCCCAAATAAGAAAAAAATATCACTTACATTTTTTGATGATGAAGGGAAGGCAATTAAATTTACAATGGATGGAGATAAAAAAATGAATGAATAAAAAATAAAAAATAAACTCGTTTTAACTAGTCAAATAACCTTCGGATGAAGAACAATAAAGAAAAATTAAAGGGTGTAAGAGCCACAATTGATGAAGACCTCATGAAAAAGTACATTTGCCCAACAAATTATGCACATTCAATTAGTCTAGCAATTTTTTCTCCTCCTTTGTTATGCTAAGCATCAGATTCTTTTCTTTCAAATGAAGATATAGTTTAATAAAATGTTAAGCAGCTCTTCATCAAAACTAAAAACAGCTAACAAATGTGATACAAAATTGTCCAAACACCCCCCACCATTATGAACCTTAAGCAAAGCCAAGAACATTACTTACTCCCATCAAACAATCAGAAGTTACAGTTTTCTAATACATTTTCCTTTGCAGCACTAAAAGACGCTTCATTTTAATAAGGACTCTTTCAATTTTGAAGAAATACAGAGCACCAAGCCAGTACATTACCCATGAACACAGAATATAAGGCTTGTTAGCATTTTTGGTTGAGATCTCTTAAAAACTAAAGATTCAAGATCTCTTGAAAATCAAAGACGTGTTGATCCTTCACACAGAGGAGACCGCTCCCCCAACTCAGAATTACCCCTCCAAACCCTTCATCCCAACAAAGTCAGATAAAAATCATCTTAAGTCTTATCTACCCTTATTGCTGTCACATCACCAATTTTAAGTTAGTTATTGAATATTATTGAAGAATGAGGATGGTGTTGAACAAAAGAATCCTATTGCCATTTGACCAGCTAAATATCAGGCAGAAACAATTGGTCCCTTATGCTTTGGAAGGCTATATACAACTTTATTGACAAGACCTGCCTTAAATTCATCATCAAAGTTACTTATAAAGAGAAGGTACAATGACGAACTGGACGGACTCAGTAAAAAGAAAGCTTTGCAATAGAATGAAATATTCATAAGACCACTTTGACACCTTTTTCATAGACACTTACCTGTGATAAGGCTGCAGCAACAAAGTCATTGACTCGCTCTTGGACATTATAGTCAAATAGTAGTGGATCATCCTTCAACCAAAAAAAAAAAAAAAAAAAAACTTGTATGAAGAAGACTTTGAGTGCAGCTTAGTAACCTTTTGAAGAGTTTGAACTACAGTCAAGAAAGTCGGTAAGAAAGAAAATTTCAAACAAAAAAAAAAAAAAATATCAAGCTACTGAAAATTTACATACCTGAATAGGAGAGGACACATCATTTACTTCAAATTGAAATCCATCAGGGGGGTTATAATGTCTAGGAAATATACCAGTGAAGATCTGCAAGTGAGTTGGCAAGGTTCACACCATTCAAGAAAGGAAAAGACCCACGCAAAAGGAGATAACAAAAATATTGTGGAAGGAAAAATCAACATTCGCAAGTCATAGTTTACAAGTAAAGATGAAGGTCATGAAACATCAGTATACCTTTTTTTTAACTTAGCTTAAGTTATTAGCTTTATCTGTACTTGATTTTGTTTAAACTCTATTCAACGTGGAAAGAAAAAGGTCTTATACACGAACCTTTATATATTAAAGTTGACGGCTAAAGAGAGTTAATTCAAAGAATTTTGGTTTCCCAAGGCTTGATCATAGTTTTTCAATATATTGAAAATGAAATATTACAAGGATAACGAACAAGCTCTTAGTTACTCATGTACCTGTGAGGTAGAACCAAGTGTCCTAGAACCACGCCATACTACCTCAAGAGCCTTCTCATATTTTCTTTTTGCTCTATCTTGGTAATCAATGCGAGCAAAGTAGAGTGAATCAAATCCTACCTGCAAATAAAGAAATCATAAAAACAAATCCTTTTACCAAAAAAAAATTGGGAAAAAAAAAAGAACAGCTAAACTTAATGAGTGCACATATGCAAAAGAAGATACTTGAATTGACACTAGAGAGGCGGATCCATCAAGGGTCCTTGGTGCCACATGCCACGCAGAAAAAAAAAATAAAAATAAAAATAAAACCAGCTTGAAACATAGTTGTATTATAAACATTAAATTCGTCAGCTATGCACAACCGTAACAGATTTTCCTGCAGTGTTTGAGCTTTAAGATTGCAAATCCAAGTGCCTCAGCATCATTTTTTGTCAGGAGCTCAAATCCAACATCCTCTTTAGCTCTACTTCTTTCTTTAAGAGAGCAGTAAACTCCTATTTTTCTTTTTACTTTTAGTGGAAGAGTGGAACCATGGAGGGGTTAAACAAGGGAGAGGGAGATCGAAAATGACTTGGTTGGAAAGAGTTAGAAAGGATATGAAGTATAAGGATTTGCATGAGGATGAGGCATTAGATCGTAAGGGATGGAGGAGGAAGATTTTTGTCGATAACTACACGGAATAATCACTTTTCGTTCATGTAGCCACCCACTTATGGGATTAATGGTTAATGCCCCGATTGATTGATTGATTGATTAATATTATCTACACCCAATTGCAATCTCAACAATACACTTTAAACAATCAATAAATTATAATATCATTAATGTAGTTTTATAGTATGTGTCGACTAATATAAAATAGGAAAAAATAAATTAAGAAAATGACCTTTCAACGATCTTTCAAAAATAAAATGACCTTTTGATTATTTCAAAATAAAACGATATTTGACATACATCTACTCAAAATAGAACAAAAAACCAATAACCTGTTATAAAAGTTAAAATCGGACACGTGCCTCTTTGTGATTTGTCAGAATTTTTATTTTTATTTTACATTTTTCTTTTTAAAAAAAAAATTGATTTTTAATTAAAAAAATAAACAAAGTTTAAAAAAGAAAATAAATAAATAAAATTTTAAAAAAAAAAACACCTTCACTCTCTCCTCCTCTCCCCTTCCCCATCCTCCTCCTAGTGAGCCACTTGAACGGCCTCCCCACCACCACCTCAACACATTAATTCACTTTCCCTCCCTTCTGAAATCCACCTGCAGCCCCTCAACCACCCCACTCCCCTTGAAACAACCCCAAAAGCACCGCAAACACACCCGCGACCCCGGAAACAACCCCTTTACCAACCCACTCTCCTTGAAACAACCCCGAAACCATCCCCAAACCCATCGATAGCCCCCGATACCACCCCAAACCCACCAGCAGCCCCCGACACCACCCCAAAACCCACCAACAGCCCCCTATACCACCCCTTAACCACCCTACTCCCCTTGAAACCACCCCAAAACCCTCCTCAGCTACCAAAACCACCCTATAAACCAACCTGCCAACTCCCCACCTCTAACCCACTGGCAACCCAATCAAAAACCCCACCTCAACCGACCCTCAAAATCCTGTGTAGAGGTGGAGTTCAAGGTGGAGTTTGTTGCAAAGGACAAGGGTGGGAAAGTGGGGGTTCACGAGTGGGCTGCTAGTTGGGTCGACGTTTGAGGGTAGGGTTGTGGGTGAATGGGGGTGGTGTTGGTGGCTGAGAGGGTAGTGGTTAGTGAAGGGATGGGGTGATGGATAAGTGGTAAAAAATAATAAATTAAAAAACTACCAATCACATAGCGGCACATGTCACAATAACTTGTTTGACAGGTTACCAACCGATTACGTTCTATTTTGAGAAGATGTATTTCAAAGGTCATTTTATTTTGGAATGATCAAAAGCTTGTTTTATTTTTGGAAGAACACTGAAATATCATTTTATTCTTGACCATTTTTCCTATAAAATTTAGATTTGTGGATGTCAAATTAAAATATTCATATTATTAAATGAATTGATTGGTTTATACAAGTATATGTCTTCGGCTTATTGTATAATACTTTTGTTTGTCTTTTGATTGGTTTAATGCCCCTTCAAACTTGAAATCCAAGATCCACCTCTAATGTCTTAGTCATTCTATTCATACACTGCTCCTAGATACACTTGGTGAATATCTCACCCAAAAGGACCTTGTAATTACTTCCACGTTAACTTAATAAGAACTTTGAAGTAGAGAGAAACCACACATCACAAGCTGCCCCAAAGTAACATATAAGGCTTAAAACAGCCAAGACTCTGTCACTGAAAATAGACAAGCAATTAAACTACAAAAATTCAATGAAAGACAACCCTTGAAAACTAAACCATATGCATTCTTGAGCTGGGTAAAGATGTTAAGGTCAATTAGATAAAGTTAAAAATTGTGAAGCAATATTGCAATAGGAGATAAATTGTGTGTAGCTTGTATAGAATTCAAAATACAAGAATAATTTAAATGTTTAAGGTATGTATAGGTGAGGCATCTGGAGATACATGAGAAGATTACTTGAGATGATAGCAAGGTAGACTTGTGATTATATAAGAAGTAATGATCAGGTAAGACTCATATGTCAATGCACACCAAGAATATTGCCTGTGATAAAATAATGGTGGTCTATGATGATCTAGCGAGCCTCCGGGTATTTAGAAACCTTTGCTCCACACACCTCCCTTCACTTTACTTGACCTTAGTGTTGTCTTTTTAGAAGTCTCTATAACTCATTACTACTTCCTAGATTCAATCGTTTCTTCCCATTATGGCTTTAAGAGGCTACTGACTTTCACTTTTTGACTTTTCTCTCTACCTCTTCCTTCACGATACAATGCCATTCAGATCTTCTTTGATAAACATTTTTTGTCAATCTCGACTAATGAAAATTTATGATGAGCAAATTTTAACCTTGTTAGGCCTAATCAAAGTCATGAATGCTGCTGTGATTGTTGACACTAGTAATGTTTTCTTGTGGAATATGCAGTTTACAACAGAGCATAGAATGCTACAGGAGAATACAAGCAAGTTATAAACAAACAAAATGTAGAGAAAAAATATATAAATACCTCAGCACCTAGTAAGTAAGCCTGAACAGCTGAATGTCCAAACGGATCAATCTGCCAGCCAACGCGTGGTATCTGACCAAATTCATTCTTAATAAACTGATGGCCCAAAGTTGTCTGATCAATGAGGTCAATGTAATGAGTAGTTGCCTCATCATGCATGCACATTCCCCCGTTTCTATATCAACCCAAAATTATTATGAGAAAACAACTCAAAATCGGCAAACAACCAAGAAGAGTAGTCTGAGTAGAAAACTGCTCCAAAATGAAATTGTGAAATTTATAGAACTTCATAAAAAATGAAACATTCAGTTGAAGAATAGTACATAAACTCTAGTTGACCTGAATTGACCAACTCCATCACCTTCACCTTAAGCTTTGGACTCTGTTGTCTCCACCATCGTTGAAAGAATGCCTAAACAATGCCCCGGCCCCCAAACACGGAATAAAAACTTGAAATTATGATCTCACATCATCAAATTAAAGTGGTATTTGATCAAATTATAGGAAAGAAATAGAAGTTCTTGGATTCTTATACCATTTCAACATAAATGAACTTGCGATTCTTATCTTCCAATAGAGATGAAACCACTGAATCCAGCACGTTTTGCACACAGGCTCCCTAATCCAATCAAATCCACGTAAAATTCACCTCATCATACTAAAATATATGTCCAGCACGTATCTACGTTCTACGTTATCATTGTACTCTCATTTTCTAAAAGTTTTTATCCCTTTTTTGACAAAACACGTTTGCCATTACACATTGATCATCAATACCTCTATTTATAAAACTTTCATATTCTTAAAGCATTCATTTTGAGATGAACCAAACAAGACCCTTCTTGACTATATTTTATTTTATATAATTGTGAATAGTGTCAAGTTTAAAATTGGAACAACTGAAAACAGAGGGAGTAATCACTTTTCGAGTATTAGTTTATTTTTATAACTCAAATGTGTGTCATGGACTAGTGTACCACTCCACATGACTGTACCAATTAAGTTATTTGACTTATAGTATTCACATAAATCATCTATTGCATGATTTATTGCTTCTTTTTTTTTTTTTTGAAATATCATGAGTTATTGCTTAATAATACACAAATCAAACATATCTCAATAAGTAAAAATTATCCAAAGCTTATATATTGAGCATGCACATTAAGAAAAATCCAACATACTATGTATTTTTTTGGAATAAATTAGAGCAAGTTTAGCCTTATGCTTAAAATTTTTCCCATTTTTCTTCAAAAATCTCAAGTAAGTCTCAAATTAAGTCTTGAAATTTCAAGACTCAACTTAAGACTTGAGATTGGGACCCACTACTCCCACCTCACTTTTATTTTTATTATCCCTTTTTTTTTCTTACACTTTTCTACATATAATATGTCAAATATTTAAGTCTTAGGACTAAAGTGATAAATTTTTGTAAGTCTTAGTGAGTCTTAACAAGAATTTGATGACATCATTTTCAATGGGGACCACCAAAAATGATATCACATTCAAGTCTTAAGATTTGGGGCTTAACTTGCTCTTATCATAACTATAGTTAAAGATGAAAGTAGAGATTGTGAAACATTTTAAAGTGAAATAATGTAGTTGTGTTTTATAGCTCTTTACTCTCATGGTCCCAACTCGTACTTTTTAATTATTTTGTTCCCACATCTCTTATTTTAAAATAAAATATCAATTAATTGTTGGGAAATTCTCAACGGTGACCCTCACGTCCCAATGGTGACCTCCCCTTTTTTTACTTATACAGAATGACCTTAGTTAAAAATTTCATCTCACTTATGACATTAATGAGAGTTAATTAGTTTTTTTTTTAACAAAAAACAAAACAAAACAAAACAAAAAAAAAAAAGAAAAACCACCAACCCAGCCAGCCCACCACCAGTGCCAGCGTCTAGGGTTCCCCAGTCCCCCGCCGGCGACGCTACCCCAGCCCCACCATTACCCAGAACCCAAACCCCGTCGATGAACCTCTCTCTCTCTCCTCTTCCCATTGCAACCACCATTTTCACTCAAATTAAGTTCGCAATTGAGCAATCAGAGCTTTAATTCGTTCGATTGTCCTCTATTTTCAATCACTATGTGTTTTTCAAACCTTAAATCAAGCAATTGTCAATTCTTAGATTTTTCCCAATTTCTAGGGTTCTTCCAATTCCATTCTACATTGTTCGAATTTGAACAATTAGAGCCACAAATTGTAAGATGGTGTGTAAGGTGGTTGTTGCGGGATGCACTAGGGGCAAGGTGGTTAAATGTGGTTGCGAAAGGTAGATGTAGCGTGGCTGGGATTGTGGTGATAATGGTTGTTCCAGGCTGCTTGGCGGTAAGTGTGTGGGCTTATGAGGGAGGTGCGGTGTTTTGTGTGGTGGTGCGTGGCTGATTAGTGATTTTGAGTTTGATGGTCTAGTGGTGGTGACGGTGAGAAGGAGGAGAGAGAGGGTGGGTCGTGGGCGGGGGTTTGGGAATCTGACTTGGAGGTGGTCGAGGTGGAGCTGGCGCAGCGTCACCGGCGGTTAGGGAGCCTAGGTAGTGTCGCCGGCGGTTGGAGGTGCCTAGGGTTTTGTCGCCGGAAAGGGAAAGGGAGATGGGGCTGGCAGGTAGGAGTGGCTGTGTTTTTTTGGGTAGTTAGGTTAATTTTTTTTATTTTCTATTTTTTATTTTTTATATTTTTTTTAATATAAATCTAACCATAGTTAATATTTAATGGAATAAGGTTATGAGTGAGATGAAATTTTAAACTGGGGTCATTTTGTATAATAAAAAAAATAGGGAGGTCGCCATTAGGGCGTAGCAGAAGTTAATGCTAAAAATAATACAACCTTTATCCCATTCTTTTTTAATAATACAACCTTTTGATTATTTTGTAATAATACAATCTTTAGCGGTTGTTCATTTTAAACAAGATAAAATCGAATTTTCGGTGAGTTTTGAGGTGGGAGAAGAGGAGGGGATATTCCCCACCACCAAAAACTCATCCGCCCAAAGTCCACCGAAAAATTAATTTTATCTGTTTAAAATGAACACCCCTAAAGGTTGTATTATTACAAAATAATCCAAAGGTTGTATAATTAAAAAAGAATGGGCTAAAGGCTGCATTATTTTTAGCAATTTTTTCTTTTATACATATAATTTTTAATTCCCCAACAAACTTAACATATAAATTCAATATAAGTTCAAATGTTCAATGCATATATTTGTAAAGCTTTAGTTTATTGAAGTTTGCCGATGCTGCAATGCATACTTTTAGTATAATTTATTATCAATACGTAAAAAAAATTAAAATTTAATGTTCGGAAAGCATAAATAGAGATGAATCTAACATGATACTATTTTCTTTTTACAATTTTTTGTTAAAATCAAAGATGGTATAGTGTGTGAGTAGTGTAGATTCTGAAGTGTTTCAACTTTCATGTAAAAAATCAGAGGAACTAGTTGATTTAAACCATATTCTACACCAACATCAAGTGAGAAAAGAATCCAAATTGATAGGTCTAAGTAACAAAATTCCATATGCAATTCATTTATACCAAAACTAAGGACAAGATAATCATTCAAATACACATATATCAATGGGTATAATATTAATGTATAAAAAGAAAAGAGTGAAAAGAAAGAGAAAGAGAAAGAACCCTGATAGAATTGTTGGCACCAACATAGTACTGATCAACAGTCTTCAACCAACCAACATCATCATGAGTATGAGGAACCAAATGAACATTAATTTTACCCGCAACTATTTTTCCTGAGTTATTATATGCTATATATTCTGATTTTACACCCAACAAAAACAGCAGGAAAATACCCATTAAAATGGTGCTTAAACTAGTGGAAATCGCCATTGGTAAAACTCAAAAAAAAAAAAAATTAGAAAATTAGTGGTGGGTTTTTGTGTAGAAAGACACCCAGACTTGGGTGAATTTATGAGGAGAAGAATAGAATTAAGAGAGGAGATTATAGTGGAGTTGACATGATTTTGTTTGAGCAAAGAAAAATGATGGTGTGATTGTTTAATTTTATTTAAAATTCAAACTGTCTTTTTTGTGTCATGGTTTCTAGTGACTTCATCGGCAAGCTATGTGGCGTTTTCTGCTTAATTGAGTGGAAAATGACCCACGATGAAGTGAGGATAGCTTTGTCCAATAGATGAAAATTTGTTAAAAATAATACGTTTCACACATCTCTTCCGTAATAGAACGTGACCTATTAGTAACTTGTTTAAGAGTTTGGCCATGTTTGGTAATTGGCTTTTTGGTTAAGTTTTGGCTTTTGGCTTTTTTAAGTGGTCAAACAGCCAAAAAATGTGTTTGGTAATTGGCTTTTTAGTTAGCGAAAAAGCTGGGTTTTAAGCCAAAATGAAAAAGCTGCTTTGAGTAGCTTTTTTGTTGGCTTTTGGCTTGTTGGCCCACAAATTATCTAATAAACAGCCAATATCCAACAATTAATTTACTAAACACTTTTATAACACAGCTAGTTTAAACAGCCAATTTCAAAAGTCATTATAAACAGCCAAACATTCCAGCTAGTCAAACAAGTAAAGTGAACCAGCCAACAGCCAACCGCCAACAGTCATTTGCCAAACAAGGCCTTTACCTATGCCACGTGTCAAAGTTTCAGTGGTCAACTAGTTTAAGACCCGATAAGTCTAATTTTTTTTAAGAAAATTAATTATATCTAACAAATAAATTTTGATAAAACGTACAAATCAAATATAGAGAAATTATAATGTCATAATATATATAAATAGGCAAAGCAACAAATTATCTAAAAAAGGGTTTTTTTAGGGTCTATTCACATTTACTGAACTAATATGAACTGAACTAATTGGAGCTGAACTGAACTGATTGGAGCTGAAGTGAAGTAATTGGAGCTGAACTAAACTGAGCTGAAAAGAATATTTTATGAGAGAGAGAAATTAGAAGTTGAACTAAACTGAACTGATTGGAGCTGAACTGAACTGAACTCATTGCAGCTGAAATGAATTGAATTGATTGGAGCTAAATGAACTGAACTGAGTTAAAATAAAGCTAAAGTGAACAGGCCCTTAGTCCGCCCGAACTCGAGAATTTGCGATTGGGCTAGATCAGGTCTAGTAGCTATATTAGTGAATACTTATTTATAAATGCATTTTTAAGAAACATCCAAAATTAATCAAACAACAAACTAAAATCTCCTCTAAAATTATTAGCAAAAGTGAAAACATACACAAAATTACAAATAATATATCACCTTTATATCTAAAAAAATCATTTGTTAAACACAGCATTTATTTTATAGTAGTATATCAGTTTATGATAATATGTACGTATAATAGTAAAATTTCATAAACGAAATTATAATTAACTTGAATATATAGTTATATTGAATTAAAATAAAATATTAGCTAAAGGTATTTTTAAAAAAATAAGTGATGTTTTAGAGTAATTTCTTTAACATCTATTATATGAAACAATTTATTATAACTTTTTTGGCAAAATATAATAATACTCCATTTAAAATATAGTTAAAAAGGAGTTGATTTTTTTTCCCGAAAGAAGTTGAAATATATAGAATAATTATGAACACCAAATAAAAAGGAATATATAGTTGTCATGAAGATAATATAATATAAAAGATTTGAAATGATATTATTATAGAATCAAATATTAATAAAAAAAAGGGTTAAAAAGGGAAGGGGAGTTTTGGAGGGAAAAAACAACACCAAAATGTGACAGGTGTCATTCCCGGTGTCTATTTTATTATTAAGTTATTGATTTGTTTTTGTAATCCTCCGTATTTTTAAATATTTTATAAATGAAAATTTATTTTATTTATAATATTTATTTGTTATTTTTCATAATTTAATTTCAAAAGTTTCAAATTATTAATGTGGGTCAAAAATTATTTGAACAAATTGTTTTATGCACCTTTATTCTACAATTTATGTCCAATCACACAATCCTAACTCATTTGTTTACTTAATCGACCCATTATTTTTATGAGGCCCAATCTTTCTTTTTACCCTACAATAATTCTCTCCTATAAATACCACATGAATCTCCAAAAATTTCCCACACAAAAAGGTTAGTCTTATTTTCATCCTCCTTTGTTTCATTATTTTGCTTAATGTTAATTTAATTGTTTTGGGTTTTGATTTTAGTATAAAGATTATATTTTTAGTATCAAATTATATTTTAATGGTATAAAGATTATAAATTTCAGATTATATTTATGTTATAAATTTCATATTTTATGAATTATAAACCTAGGGTTTCAATTTATTGAAAATCATGATTTTAGGGTTTTTATGAACAATTGATTTAGGGCTTTTATAGTAATGATGTTTTGAAATTTTGGTGATTATAACTACTGATTAGTTTAAATTAATTCCAGATTATTTTGAACACGTAGATTCGTATTTTAATTTTTAGATTTTCGTTCATTAATATTAATCCCGTTTTAATCCCGATCAGATTCTGAACTCATCCGATTTTGATGAAAAAGTAGTGTTTTCCATGTGGAAATAACGTTTTAAGAAAGACTTACTACCTTTGGTAATAGGAAGAATTAATGAAAAAGGATGAGTAAAGGAAGAATTCAAGTCTTATAAGACGATGTTAAGGTTTTGGGCTGCCTTATGCACTCAAGGTGTTTATACACCGAGGTAGTAAAAGAATAAATAATAAATGTTGCTTGTCACTAATAAATCAAGAATTGGAATTGGAAAGTTGTTTTACTTGATTGAATTGATAATGGATTGGTTGTGTTGTTTGCATATGAGTCATCACCAAGTCTAAACCTGAAAATCACGTAAAGTGCAAGATGGATGAGCAATAAAACTCTGGATTGGTGCACATCCGGAGTAATGACAATCAGAGGTTGGGGTACATGGGGTATTAGCCGTGTACTTTTCTCGAGGCCGTCTGATCTACGAGTCTCTTATTTCAAATATTTTTCAAAACTAGGAGTTAGGTGAGATCTCATACTAACTACGGTCACGGAGTCGCGCCCGTGGTCGTTGGATGTTTATTGATGTTTCCGAAAGGAGGCATGGAGTTTTTCTTTTATTGATGTTCCAAATGGAGCATGGGTTGGACAACCTTCTCTGTTTGCGTAATCCAATGAATAAAAATAATGATATACCTATTATTAATTAATGGAGTGTTAGTAATATAAATAGTTGAGTCGTGTATTGAGTCTATAATTTAATGATGCATGATGTTTGATTATTAGTAGCATGTTAGAGATTTCTTAATTTATTTCGCAGCTTGTATGTACTCAGCTTTGCTGATTGCGTGCTTTCGTGTGTGTCTTTCTTTGGTCATGGCTTTCGCCTTTCAATGACCCTGTGACGATCCAATTTTACACTTGTAATATTGGGGAGCAGATTAACCACAGGTTCTTGCACACGCAGCATTCACATCAGGGTTGTGGGATTTTGAGTGGAGAGGTGGTTATTATTTGTAGTTTATTTCTTTTCATAAGTTTGAATTTTATTAAACTTTGATTTATTTATTTACTACTTTTGTGGGGTTTTGAATAAGGACCTTAATGGTTCCAAGTTGTATGATTTAATTTGGTTTTGGTTATTGGTTTTAAAACTTATTTATAACTGAATTAGTTTTTTCGCTGCTATTTTCTGATAAAGCCTTAACGTTTGAACACGTGGCGGTAGCACGCCAGTAATTCTCTTGAATATTGTTCAGGGTCCTCACAAATTTAAAGAGAGAATTATTGGGGTGTTACAAAAGGTCGTGTTATTTTGAGATAATCAAAGGTCTTTTTATTTTTGGAAGACCACAGAAAGGTCGTGTTATTTTTGGCAAATTTTCTCTCAAAAATACAAGTTCATCTTTGTGATAAACAATAATGGTTTATCTAGTTGTAATATCATATGAAAAAATCCAAGTTAACATCTAGATAAACTTATAAGTTTATTACATGGCATTCTTGTAAATTGTAATAAACTTCACTTGGGTTTCGTGAAATCCCATTTAAAAATTATTTTTCAGCCCATGTATCTAGATGGCATGCAAAAAGTAGGCAAAATAGGTGTTTCACGGACCAAAATAAGTTATTTTTATGAGCTCCACGACTTTACTTAACTCAAGGTGAGTTAAGTCAACTCAAGGTGAGTTAAGTCAATCTAGGACTTCAGTAAAGTTAAATGGTATATATTATGTGTTATGCGAATGATCTTGAGACAAGGGTTTAATAAAATCTAAAGATGATCGTAGTGGCGGGATCCAGTCAGTATATAGTGATTGTGGTGGTGGGAACCGATCGATATACGGTGATCGTCCTGGGTAGATACCATCGGTAGATGGTGGTTAGATTGTCCAATTAAGTTTATGATAAGAATACCCAAGTTCATAAGAAAATTGCATAATGGATCCTTTGTAAGCCTGTAACAATAAACATCTACATTAACTCCATAATTACAATAAAATTACCAAAATAAATTCTAATACAATTAATCAACACTAATATAATAACTACAGCAAAACATTGTGAGAATTGAAGTTCAACACTTCAATATACTAATTTACCCAATAATTTGAACTAATAACAAAATATACAAAATATACAACAATCAAAAGCAATAACATATAAGAAGTCAAAAAATCATATCCAATACCTAATTAAGATGATAACTCTAATCACCGACGAGACGACAACAACTCCAATCAACAATTAAATTGGACGATCAAGAAATCAAGTCCTAAATCTACGCCCAATTAAAAAGAAATTAAACCCCAATTTGTACAGAAAATTTATGAAACGATCGACTGCAATACCCAGGAGATTGGCAAGTCGAAGGAAAATAATTAAATGGAAAAAAAAAAACTTGGTAGCATTCACTTGATCCGCGGATGCTAGTTGCAGAAGTAACACCAACTAACTACGGTTACCATTTGAAACTTAATGACATCCATGTTTGGAGCTAACGCTATTCACAAGGGATTTGTTAAACATCGCCCGCAAATCTCCACATAAAGCCCACAAATTAGACATGGTTTGACAATTTTGCCCATTTTTAAAATCGTACCCAAGGTGAACAAATCTCGATCTAACAAATGTGGAGTCGTA